GGGGGGGGCACTGGTAAACTCCGCCCAGAGTCAGGATGCCCCAACGAAGTGACGCAGCACGGTTTGGCCGCTGTGGGGCGCCGTAGCCCGCGCTGTTGCCAGGGGAACGGGCCCCGCGCCGGGTGAGGCCCAGCCTGCCTTGGCGTGGCACGGCTGCAGAGCCAGCCGGTCCGAACTAAGGCCGAAGGACTCGGAGGCCCAGCCGCGGTCCGGGATGGAGCCACGCTCCGGGACGCGTCTCCTCCGGGTCCGGGGGACTGACTCTGCCCGGACGGTCTGAAGTGCGGCCGCCCTGGGGAGGGTGGACGGGCAGGACGGGGCCGAGCCGCTGGCTGACCTTGGCAGGCCGCATCTGGCGCAGGTGAGGAGCGGCTGCGGCGTTTCTCACCTCGAGCCAGGCCCGAGCCACCGGGTCGCGCTGCTCCGGTGCCTGGCAGGACTCTGGGCCGGTCTCGCCGACCCGGGGAGCTCGGGACTTGCTTCTAGCACTAATCGGGGTTATAGGTCTGCACTGAGCGCTCACCGAGTGCCAGGCCCGGTGCAGGCGTCGGGCCTAAGAACAGACGCCCTCAGTCTCCAGAACCCACAGAGAATTAAGGCGGGATTGGGGAGCAGAGGCCAGACACGTGACTAGAGTAAGCTTAGGTCGCCTTAAGTGCTCCGAAGGGCCCTACAGGTGACTTTTAAGCTAAGACGTGGAGGTTGGAAAGGAGCCAGAATTGTGAGTAGGGAAAGGGTATTTCTGAAAGAGGGAAAGACAAACACAGAAGTCCAGGTGGTAGAGTACTGGTGCAGAACAGAAACCACGAGGAAAGTCCCTACAGTTCATAGTGAGGCGGTTCAGCTTTTATCCCAGAAAGGGAAGGGAGTCACTGAAGAGTTCGATGAGTTGGAGGTTTTGTGGGTTTTTTTTTTTTTTTTTTTTTTTTTTCTTCGAGAAGGGTTTCTTTGTAGCTTTGGAGCCTGTCCTGGAACTAGCTCTTGTAGACCAGGCTGGCCTCGAACTCACAGAGATCCACCTACCTCTGCCTCCCAAGTGTTGGGATTAAAGGCGTCCACCACCACCGCCCCCTGAGTTTCAGGTTTTGATAAGGGTTTTATATGCTGGCTGCTGAGCTGATTAGTTGAAGCTTAGCTCTGCTAGTGCAGCCGAGCCTCCTAGAACCCAGAAGTTTCTCCGCGCCCTCCTCTGGGCACAGGGGATGAGTTGTCATGTTTATGAGACAAAGTGAGGGGGTCCACATCTGAGACCAAGGATTAAAGAGATGGGTGGGAGCCGTGGGAAGCAATTGGACTACTTCAGAGCGGGCAATTAAGTGAATTCCGTGGAAGCGCTTCAAGCACGCCTGGTCTAGAATGAATGCCACCTAAATGGCAAGGATGGCTGTTACATCACGGACGTGTTGTAAGGGAGTGATGACGGTTAGCGCAGCAAAGATTCTGAGAAGCAGGCTTCACTTTACCAAGGGTTAGGTTGGACGAGGGGTGGTCACGTGGTCACTCTTTTTGTGGAATGGCTGTTTTGCTGTGGGAGACCAGCTGTAATACAGATAATCACCCTGAGATGCAATAAAAGCAATGGTGGTGTTTAATTAGCCTGTTTTTTCCCCTATTGTTTTTCTTACTTTGTTCTGTCACAACTTTGTTCTTAATGACTTTCTTGGTGGGTGTTCCCCAAGGCTGGCTCCTACAATCTCTAGTTGATTTCCTGTTAAAAATCAACAACCCTCGCCTCCTTTCCTTGGTGTTTTGTTTCTGTTCCCTGGTGCTGTTTCTTATTTCTTCTTCTGAACTTGCGTCCCGGCGTCTGTGGTGGCAGCTGCAAGGGGAGAGTGACACAGAAATGTTTGCACACCATGTCAACTCAGGAGTGATCTCAAGGGTTTCTTTGCTATAGCAACGGACTTCGACATATTGTTTATGAGAGAGAAAATAAAGGCCCAGCCACATTATTTGAGACCAAAGAGCAGAGAGGCCTTTGAGAAGAGCTTTAAGTTGTAGCCTGTTTTCTGGAAATGATGTGCTATGCAGCCTTTAGTTGAACTATAGCCACTTCTCAGAAAGTTTAAGACCGCAGGCTTTTCTGGCACCTGTGGGGAGTTTTAATAAAACTGTATTTGCCCCTAGTCGGCTCTTACAAAGGACTCGCCACTAAACAAATGTGCCCCGTGAAGCATTTTCTGTCCCGCTCCCCTTTATGTGGTCTAAATTGAGGCGTGTTAGATCTCAGTGAAAATTATTCTAGAAGCAGATCCTTGAGAAAGGCTGAAAAGTGATTTAGAATTACTCAGAGGAATCTCGCAAGGAAGCAGTAAAGTGCCTCTCCTGCAGGGTGCACCTCTGCCTTGCTCTGGGACCATGGGGGCACTGAGCAGCTCTCTTTCTTAGTCAAGCCTACACCAGTGTCTTGCCCAGCAGCTCTGTTGTATTGCCCAAAGTCTGTTTCCAACTTTGACAAGACCCTAACAGTACTAGAAGGTTCTGTGGCTCTTCCTCACAGACCTGTGTGACTCAGCTGCCGTCATTGGGTAAGAAAGCACTTGAACAAGCTCTCTTGTCAAATGGTTGTTAGGCAGGAATCCCTGGTTTCTGGCTTGGTATAAACCTCTAGGTCTCACAGGTTCATCTGGTTTACACGAAGCACAGTAGAACAAAGGGCTAGAGGTGACACACACCCTTCAGCGTAGCTTATTTGATGAATGTGTGTGTTGTTGTTTCTGGGGACTGAATTCAGGCCTTTCTACAGAGCTATCCTACTTCCCTTACTTTTTCTATAGATATGGTCTCATCTTGTAACTCTGGTCGTCTTAGAACTTACAGTGTGTGGACCCCAGAGAGCTTGTCCACCTCTAAGTTGTGGGATTAAAGGTGTGTACCACCATGACCAGCTAATATATTTTTTTAAACAATAAATGCTCATGATTTTTAAAAAAAGGTTGAGTAATAGCAGCGGACACACAGTAGAAACACATCCGTCCCTGGTACTGTATCTTCATGGAAATTACCCCGCATTTGGGTTCTGCCATTCCTTCCCAGAGTAATGTGTGCCTCTGATAACACAGATCTGTCTGACTATCCCTTCTGGGGAACTATTTGTTTCTTTCGACAGTCTTGCTATGTAACCTAGGCTGGGCCTGGAAGTTGCAACTCTCCAGCCTTAGCCTCCCAAATGCTGATGGTCTTTTTTTTTTTTTTGAATATATATGTTTTAAATATGTGTATTTGTGTATGTGTCTACCTGTCACATATGTGGAGGGCACTGGATCACTTGGAGCTGGCGTTACAGGGGCTGTGAGCCTCCTGGTTTGGGTTCTGGGAACTGAACTCTAGTCCTTCTGGAAGAGCTATGGCTGCTCTTTTTTTTTTTTAAGATTTATTTTTATTTTATGTTTGAGAGTGTTTTACCTGCATTGTATGTCTGTGTACCATAAGCATTCCTGGTACCCTAGGAGATTAGAAGAGGGTGTCAGATTTCCGAACTGGGGTTGAAGATGGTTTTGAGCCACCATGTCATGGGTGCTAGGGTCAGAACCCTGGTCCTCTGTAAAAGCAACAGAGGCTACGCTGCTGAGCCATCTCTCCAGCCCCAGGCTTGGTTTTTATTTATTTGATAGCTCACTCTACAATTGTGTGCTTGTTCACCTAACTTCAGCTTTTGAACAAAGTCGTCCCTTGTTTGTGATGCTACATAGCATTGCCTTGTGTGCATATGCCATGACATGCTTATATTTGTTTTTGTGCTCTGTTATTACAAGGAACAATGCAGTGAACCTTTGTGTGTTAGGGGAGCGTAAGATAAATACAGAAATAAAGTGTCTGGGCCACAAGTTAAATGTGTTCTCAGGTTTGGTTTGCCAAGTTGCTTTCTGGCTAACTTTTGAAACATGAGTAAAGAAGACACCCAAATAAGTGGGATTTGTGAAATTTGCCCTCAGCTCCCTGAACTGTGAGCAGCAGTGAAGAGCCAGAAGAAGGCTCCACTCCAGACAGCCCTGGTTCCTGTTTCCAGCCTGCCTCTTCTGCCTCTTTCCATTCATAGCTTAAAAATATGAGCCTTCTATGCTTACAGTTCAGCCTTTGGGGGGGTGGGAATGGCAGTTGTTTTGAGACAGGGTCTCACTACATAGCCCTGACTGTCCTGGAACTCACTATGTAGACCAGGCTGGCTCTGAACTCACAGAGATCTGCCTTCTCAGTGCTGGGATTAAAGATATACACCATGCTGCCTGGCTTTGTGTTGTTATTATTATTGTCTGATCTAAGCAACTTAACCTTCCCAGTTTCTTGGCTGCCTTTGACATACCATTCTACTAACTGAGTTGTTTCTGAAGTCTCCTGACATCTCTCAGGAATCCAGGGCTGCCCGTAGGTTCCCCAGAGCCAGGACTTCCCAGTCTGGTTGCTTTAGCTATCTCACGCATGAATTTCGGAACAACATTCTGAATTTATTGTTGCTATTTATTTATTTATTTATTTATTATGTATACAATATTCTGTCTGTGTATATGCCTGCAGGCCAGAAGAGGGCACCAGACCTCATTACAGATGGTTGTGAGCCACCATGTGGTTGCTGGGAATTGAACTCAGGACCTTTATTGCTGCTTTTAATATTATTATTATTTGAGCTAGGATCTCAGTGTTTCGCTATGTTGCCCAAGTTGACTTTGAACTCCTCGGCTAAGTGATCTTCCTGCCTTAGCCTCCTTTTTTTTAAAAAAAATTTTTTTATGGTTTATTTTAGCTTTATTTTATGTGCATTAGTGTGAAGGTGTCAGATCTCCTGGGACTGGATTTTCAGACAGTTGTGAGCTGTCATGTGGGTGCTGGGAATTGAACCCGGGTCCTCGGGAAGAGCAGTAAATGCTCTTAACCGCTGAGCCATCTCTCCAGCCCCCTGCCTTAGCCTCCTGACTGCCTAAATTTGTTGTTTTTATTGAAGCAGTGGCAGGCAGGAAGTAGACCAGTCATACAACTATTATATCATTCATTATGAGAACTCAAAATGTTAAGGTTTTCTTTCCTTTTTTGGCTGTTTTGAGACAGTGTCTTACTGTGTAATGTTGGTTGGCTTGCAGTTTGTTGTGTACGACAAGATTGGCCTCACACTCAGAGATTTGCCTGCTTCTGCCTCCAGAGTTCTGGACTTTTGTCTCCAGTCATTTGTCACCGCTCTGGCTAAGATTTTCTTCATTGAATTTAAGCATATATATTAAGGTAGCCTAATTTTATTTTTAAAATGTTATGTAAAGATTTTAGCAAATGAATATTAAATAGAAAAGATTCTTGTCATACTGGAAGTGACCTTTGCCTTGTAGTGCAAGGGACAGGCCTGCATAGCCCCTTCAGTCTTCTGCAGATGTCAAGCAAGTCCATGACTTAGGTGGCAGATACTTGTGCCTCTAACCGTCTGTGTGTCTCCTTGCCATTTCCTCCTTCCATCCATGCCAGCATCTGTATGTTTTGTTCTTTTTAAGCAGATGGCACATGAAGAATATTTTACCAAGGCTTCTATACGACTCAGCCCACTAAACACACAGCTGGGGGCATTGTATGGGCAAGGAGAAGCTGTACACCTGACCTTGACTCTCTGGCGTTCCTTCTAAAGTACAGGGTTGCCAAGCCACTGCCCTCCTGGGCCAGCCTCCTGGTATTACCTCATCCCATGTCCTTTCTGGTCTTGTTTGTGCCCTCTTCTCTACTGAGACTAGAAATCAAAGCCACGTCATACTCTGGCTCCTTCAGTGCCCAGAGCATCCTACCTAGGCCCAAGTGATCCCAGCTTTGCAGCCCCCACGGTTCATCTCTCACTGTTCCCTGGCATGCTCCATCTGAGAGGCTTCCCTTGCAAAGCACTGCCCGAATACTCAGGTACCCGCTGCCTTGCTGTGCCCTGTGTCTCTCTGGGCCTTAGAAAGGAAAGATGGAGAGGGCAGGTACCTAGTCTCATCTGTGTTTATACCTTCAGGGCGCACAGGACTGGACCCCGGGAAGCCTTGCCTGGCCAAGGGCTGAGTGCACCATCTGGCCATGTTTTGGGGGAACAGAGCCACATATCTTTCATTTTGGACTCCCAGAGGGCTGTTGAGAGGGAAAGGACAGCCAGAGAAAGTCCCCAAGCCTGATGACAATACTTGGTCTCATCTGTGGGCCCCATTTTGGATTTGGTCCGACCTCCCAGCCCTTGTAATGAAATTTTTTGGGCCAAAAAGAATTTGTGGCCTTCAGTTCAATGATAGAAAATATTATCAAGTTTGGAGTTAGCTCTCTCAGGGTTTGGGCCAGGCAGGGTGCTCCTGGATGTTCTTAGTGTCTGTTCCTGAGCATTGCTGCTACTTCAAAGAAGTCCATGCTGCCTCTGAAGTCTTAGGCAAGTGGCCTTCTCTAGACCAAAAATACCTTAATTTGGAGTCAAAGCTACCTCCAAGACTGTTAGCAGCAAACTTCCTTCTTGGGATGGTGAGTTTTCCTCCCTCAGGACTCTAGGATAGTTTAACACAAGGGATGCCTGTGGCTCCTGTGGAGTACTAGGATTATATCAGCCATATGCTCCTGTTTCTCTCTTGAGAAACAAACTCTACCGGGTATAGGGCTTTTCAGTTGTGGGATTGATAAAGGCGAGACTAGGCTTTGGGATTAAATTATGCGTCCCCTTCAGCGTGCTTGCTGGCTCAGATAGAGGATGCATGTGTAAATGCAAGGCCCTAGGTCCAATTCCCAGTACTGCAGAACATTTGCCCTGGTGGGGGTGATTCTGGAAAACCCTTGTACAGTCCACAGAGATCTGCCTCAGAGAACTACCAGCTCAGCTGTGTTTACGGGGCTTCACCTGATGACCTTTGGGTATTTAGGCATTACAAAACAACAACAACAACAAACAAACAAAAACCAAACCAGGGACAAAGATTTGATCACCTGGGGTTTGTTCTAAAGAAAATTGTGTCTTTTTTCCTTTGTCACCTTTGATTTAAATTTGAACCCTAAGATTGGCCTGCCCTTTCTCTGTCACCACAACTGAACAGCCCTGTACCTTGAGGCAGTTTCCAAAAGAAGAAACAGACATGTGACTGATCATAATTCCCTAGTTTTGGTAGTGGCAAGAGGCACAGTGACAAGAGCAGAATGTCAGCCCAAGACAGTATGGTGGCAGAGTCTTGAAATCTAAAGGCTATCCCGGTCTATACAGCAAGTTGAGATACATGGAAAATCCATTAGTCAGATTATCTAGTCCTTCAACTAAATTAAAAGGAAAAATAGAGACAGAGAACTGTATGTCAAATACTTGAGCTGCGCGAGTTTGGCTCACACTTGTAACCTCAGCTCCCAAGGTCATGAGGCAGGAGGATTGCTAAGGGTTTGAGCCAACCTGGGCTACATAATGAGTTTTAGGGTGGTCATGGTGAGACTCTATCTTACTTATCTTTTTGAGTAGCAGTATGTTTATTTCTCGGGGCCATCCACTTAAGAAAGCAGTTTCAGGACTGTGTTCCCAGTCAGGCTGTAGCCACTCTGCAATGCTCACCCGAGTGTCCAGCTGAAGGAGACACGCGCATGGTCTATGCCAGGGCTTGGGCAAAGCAGATTGCTTGCAAATCAAAACCTTTGGAGGTAAAGTGCCCAGGAAACGTTGGCTACAAAAGCCACTTGGAGGAATGCACCCTCTACTTGGGGGGTAAAGAAACCTCATCGTTACAGGTCTCACTGTGGGAGTTAGTGAAGTTAGATGCTATTACTGAAGTATTCACTTGTTTCTTTTCAGACTCCTCTTCCAGCATCTGTTATGAGAAATTGCTAAACACTTTAAAACGGGCCAGAAAGATTGCTCAGTGGGTAAAGGCGCTAGCTGCCAAGCCTGACAGCCTGAGTTCGAACTCCAAGACCCACGTGGTGGAAGGAGAGAACAGACTCCTCCAAGCAGTACACACACAGACACACAGACACACACACACACACACACACACACACTTAAAAGGAAAAAAGACTTCAAGACAGACCTGTGCTGCCAGAGTGCAGTGAGGCTGCAGCAAGCCTTTGCCTCCTCTCCTGCTCTGAACGGCCTCTGCTGCTTTACCCGTGGCCAGGGATGTTAGTCTAGTTGGGGTTTTTGAATATACTGGTTGTATACTATCGGTGTCAAACATTTAGCAATTATTTTAATGCACCACATATGTGGAGAACATGCTTAAGAATCCACTATGGAACTAGAGTTGGTAAAGTGCCTGCCTTGTGGGTGTGAGACCTGAGTTGAATCCCCAGAACCTGTGGGAAAAGCCAGGCATGCTGGACTGCTCTTCCAAAGACCTGAGTTCAATTCCCAGCACCCACATGGTGGCTCACACCCATCTGTAACTTCATTCCAGGCAACCCTTTGTCCTCTTTTGACCTCCCTGGACATATATGTAGGCAAAATACCCATAAATTTAAATAAATGTTTTTACAATTATTCTTCTATCTTTTCTGTGCATGGGCGTTTTGCTTACATACATATCCGTGTACCATGTGCATGCCTGGTGCCCGTGAAGGCTAGAAGAGGGTGTCAGATCCCCTGGGTGTGGAGCTATGGCTCACTGGCTGCTTTTCTAGAGGATCCAGGTTCAATTGCCAGCATCCACAAGGCAACTCACTTTGCTCAAGTTGTCCCCTTCTGAGAGGGTAGCCTGTGGTTCAGTGCATAAGAGCACCTGCTTCTCTTGAAGAGAACTTAGATGCTTTGCTTCCCAGCACCCACACCAAATGGCTGTAACGGCCTGTAACTCCGGTTCCTGGGGATCTGGTGACCTCTTCTGGACCCTGGGACCCTGCACGCATGCACGTGTGCACACACACTTGCTGTAAATAAGTAAACAAGGGCAGAGGGCACCTAAGCAGTAACACCAAGGTTATCCTCTGGCCTCTGTAGGCATACCCACGCATACCCCTCACACACACACACACGGACAGTGCACACATGCACACAGAAGAAGCTATTCTGATGTAGATTATTTCATTCTCAACCCTTTCTTTGCAGCTGAGTGTGGTGGCACATGCCTGTAATCCCAGTACTCAGAGGGAAGAGGCAGGCGGTTAAGACCAGCTATGGCTACATAGTAAGTAAGAGCTTGCCTCGGAACGATTTTCTTTCTTTTTCCTATTATTGATAGTTCTGAATGTTAGACTTGTCTCCCTCTTAAAGGATCAAAAGGTATCAAAATATATGGTTTTGGCCAGGCATAGTGGCAAACACCTTAAATCTCAGCATTTGGGAGGCAGAGGTAGGTGAATCTCTGTGAGTTCAAAGCCAACCTAATGTGCACAGCAAGTCAGGTCAGCCAGCGCTACATAGAGAGACCTTGTCTTAGAAAAAGTAGGATAAACAAAGGTATGCTCGAGAGTGAAAAAATAGGGCGAGGAGTCAGGCATTGGCTGTCTCCCCATTGTCTATGAGAACTTCTGTTTTTGAGACATAGTCTCACTGTATAATCAGGGTTACCCTGGAACTCACCAGGTAGACCATGCTGTCCCTGAACTCATAGAGGTCTGCCTGCCTCCTGAAATTAAAGGTGTGTGCACCACACCTTGTGTGTGTGGATATTGAATATACAAAGATATAAAGCCTTAATGCAAGTCAAATATTCTGGTCAACAAATGTTGGCAGTTCAGCTTTATAACAATTGTGGATAAACCTGCTAAAGTCTGGGTAATCATGTTTGGATTAAAAATACACATTTCTTTCTGAGGGCAACTAAATGGTTTTCCTATCATTTTTATCATATGGTTGATTGCAATAACTATACTTTTCTGAGTTATCCTACATGCAAGAATGTGTGTACTCGTGTGTGTGTGTGTGTGTGTGTGTGTGTGTGTGTGTGTGTCTAAAAACGAAATCTAAAGCCGGGTGGTGGTGGTGCACGCCTTTAATCCCAGCACTCGGGAGTGGATCTCTCTGAGTTTGAGGCCAACCTGGTCTACAGAGCGAGTTCCAGGACAGGCTCCAAAGCTACAGAAAAACCCTGTCTCAAAAAACAAAACCAAACAAAAAAAGAGTAAATCTAGGGCCTCATGTGTGCTGGACAAGTCCATTATCACTGAGCTGCCCTGCAGCCTGCAAGTCGGTGCTTTAATAGTCTGTTTTCTTGTCCCTGTGGCAACCTCAACCAGTCCTCTCATTTTGGACATAGACCTTGTAGGATCAGACACAGTAGCTGCAGCCTAGGGATAGAAAACAAGCCAGAGAGCTATTTGAGGTACTTACATGTACCATGTGGTGCACATTTACTTGTAGGATTGCCTGCAGTATCACTAAACTATGCAGCCTAGGGGGTACCCATACCCCTACTTTCCAGAGGAGTAAATCTGGTCCTCTCAGCTAGTAAGTGCAAAGCCCAAAGCCAGACCTAGACCTGTTTCTTCCAAAGTGGGGAGTCTCCTTAGAATATGGAGTTCTTTCAGTTTGGCCTGCAACCCAGAGTGGTTTAAAGTCTCTTGGTGCTGAAGCTCGGGGTACAGTGATTTTAAAGACAAAAACCACAAAAAGCACAGTGACTTCAATGTCAGATGAAGGTCAGAGTAACCTTGCAACATTTGTTTAGGCACAAACACAGTAGTTATTGCAGACACAACACAACAATTACTCTGACTTATACCATACCTTCAGTTATTTCAGTTTAAGTTTGCGTAAACATTAATGATTTTGTTAGTACATCTGGACTCTGGTCAGGGTCATGGAAACCCCAAGTGTACTGCCGAAGCAGATGTGACTGCTGGGGTGGACTGCTGAGAACGGTCTAAGCAGCCACAGAATGGAGTCAGGACAAGACAGTCACCTTAGTCGCTTCGGGCTTGCTTGGCCAGGACCATATATCGTTTATCTGACACACATTTGCTTTATTTCAGAAGTTTTCAAGTCATCGAACATTCAATGAGCATCTATTATATACAAGGTATAGCTCCTGATCCTTGGGGGAGGGGACATGGGGGACAGAGGTGAATGAATTACAGCATGCTCACTGTCTGAGGGACACTAGTGTAGGGAGGCGGCAGGCATGGGGATGGCAGAATACTCTAGATTACAGTGACCGTCCTCATAAGGACTGAGCACAAGGGCCCCTGACTTTGCTGGGGACCCTGTGGAAATTTTCCTGTATCAGAGGATGTTTGTCGTGGGCAGGGATGGCCCAGTTACATCCTGTGGCCTGTGAAGCCAGGCACTCCAGGTAGAAGTGTTGTGGTGCCCTCCTTTGCTTTGTCAGTTTATTGTCTGCTTTGGCGTAGCTGCGATGACAGATCTGACAGGAACTGCCCAAGGAGCAAGGATGTATTTCTCATTGTTTCCAAGGGTGCCAGCCCATCGTGGTGGAGCAGCTCTTTCCATGGTGGTGGAAGCTGTTTTACATCATAGCAGACCAGGCAGTAGAGAGCAAGGCAGGAGGTAGGCAGGGACAACATCCCTAAGCCCATCTCCAGAGACCCATTTCTCCTAACTAGGTCCTTTATCCCAGAGTTTCCAAAAGCTCCCCCAAGACTGCACCTCTAGATAGGAGGCCATTGCAGATTCAGATCTTAATAGAGATTGCTGATCTGTGGGTACGTCCCCCTGAAAGGAGCATCTAGCTGCCTGGGCTTTGTTGCTCGCTCCTGGCCTTCCCACTACGAGCTCAGAACTGGCCTCTTTCCCGAGGTGTGACAGTGTTTGCTTAGTTTGTCAGTCCAGAAGATACTGGTGGGCAGGACGCTTCTCCTGTAAGGACAGACTTGTCCTACTGCTCCTACAGCCTTGGTCAGCAGCTGGGCTGTAGCAAGGCAGGCCAGGGTAGGGGGTTGCTGCCATCTTGTGGTCTGGCTGTGGCCAAGGCTTGACCTTGCTTGGAGCTTTCTCAGTGGCCCTTACCCTTCTGGTAAATCTACACCAGGCCCAGATTGGCTGGGAGAAGCATGATCATTTATTCTGCCAGAAGAAATCCAAGAAGAATCCTCCCTTCCCTTGTGTGCGGGCTCATCCTCAGCCAAGCAGCCATAGAGAGCCCCTCTGCAGCACAGGGGAGAAGTTCCTGGTCCCTGGTCCTAAGGAGACTATGTGTCTGCTAAGCAGCTGAGGCCAGATCTCCTTTCTGAACACCCCCACTGCCTGTTTCCCTCAGCAGAGGATGGGGTGGGGGGGCTCTCTGACACTTGATTTGGATCTTGGGACGGAGGTGACTAATCCTAACAGAATCAGCATGTGTTCTCATCGCCCTGGCCCCAGCTTGATATTGTTACCAGATGAGAACATGTCTTATTGAGTTTCACTCTTAGGCTGTGGAGAGGGAACACTTTGAGTAATGGGCAGCCACAGTGTCCTGAGTAAGTTCGGACCATCCTCCCTTGACCTGGCTAGGCTGGGTCAGAGTCTGTTCTCAAGGTTTAGAGAACTGTCTATTTCTGTCAGACTAGGACCCCAGGTTCCCCTGCAGAGGGCACAGCCCTGCTGGTCCCTATGCTCCTGCTAAATCCTGGCTGCAGCCAGGGCCCTGCGCTCCCACGGGGCCTTTTGGGGCTTAATGCTGTCTACTCTTCTCCCCCTGGAGATGAACATCTGCAACAAACCCTCCAACAAGACAGCCCCTGAGAAGAGCGTGTGGACAGCGCCCTCCCAGGACAGTGGCCCTTCCCCAGAACTGCAGGGCCAGCGGTCTCGCCGGAACGGATGGAGCTGGCCCCCCCACCCGCTGCAGATTGTGGCCTGGCTGCTCTACCTCTTCTTTGCTGTGATTGGCTTTGGGGTGCTCGTTCCCCTCCTGCCTCACCCCTGGGTGCCTGCTGGCTATGCCGTATCCTTGGACTATATGGGACTGGAAAAGCTGGGGAGGTGGATAAATAGCAGAAGGCAGAAGCCTGAGGCTGGCCTCAGAGTCTTAGGGAGCTCGTGGTGTAGAGCAGAGTCGACTCAGCTGATTTTCTGCCCGGCTTGGACTTCTCACCTGACCTTTCCACTGATAAAGTGAGTGGGCAGCCCCAAAGCTCATCAGAGCACAGAATTCCAGAGAAGGGCTGACAGAGACTCCTAAGGCTTCTTCAGACTGATTGTGCTTGAGCAAAGAAAGGGAAATGAGGGGGCGAGGACATGGCTCAGCTGGTAGAGTACTTGCCCAGCATGTGCAAGGCCCTGGGTTCAGCGCTCATTTGAAACAGCAAGTTAGGGAGCAGTTATTCCACTGTGAAGGGATTTGTCACGGTGCAGTTTTCCCACATAGTAAGTTTTTCAGTCCATTTCAAATGTGGTTTTATTTATAGACATTATTTTGCTATGCCTAGGAATATTTGCACGCTTATTGGTGTTCGGATGAGGGTTGCTATGGCAAAAGGTGGCATAGAAATGCCCTGCAAGCTCCTGGGAACAGTGACAAACACTAACTTGCTTGAGCCATATGGTCTGGCTGTCTTAGCCCTGATCGCAACCCCCAAGGACCGAAGGCCTGGCTACAAGGTGGGGTGTAGGATGCAGTAAACCCCCGTGTGCCCCATCAGAGAGTTCCTTCACTGTCTGCTGGCATCACCCTCCTGAAGAGGAGTCCTGAGAGAGGGAGATGGGATAGGCTCAAGAGCACATGCCCACAGGGCTTCCTCTTAGCTCAGGCTCCTCTGGGCTGTGCTGCTCAGAGGAGCTAATGCAGCTCTCTGGTCCACAGAAAGGGGTTCTGTTTGCTTCTAAGGACTGGGATGACAATGAGCGCTTATTAGGAAGTTTGTGAACGTAAAGGGCTCCAGCTGCAAATCCAAGTGTACTTTCTTGGAGACCCCAGAGCCCTGGGCTGGTGAGTGGCAAAGGCAGTGGAGTAGAGGGGTTAGAGAAGATCATCATCCTCAGACGTTAGCAGTGTCTGCGGGGGCTTCTTGGTTCACAGGAGCCAAGGCCAGGGCAACAGCTGGGTGAGTGCATAGGAAATGACTTTCCTGAAGAGGACCGTGGGCCTTTATGTGATTAGGTGGGACAGTCTCCTGTGGTCTGAAGTAGCTCCATCCCTGACTTAGGTCACCCAGGTCCCCTCAGGCACTCTCCTGAAGTGAGGAGGGTCAGAGCAAGTGACAGCAAACAAAGTAGCACCAACTGAGCCCTTACATGTGCTACACACTTGACAGGGCCGTGTGACAATCCTGTCAGGAAGGCCTTCTCCCCATTCACGCAGTGGACTAGTTACGTTTCTGCAACTGTGACGAAATGCCACGGCCAAAACTAGTGATAGAAGAAAGAGTTTATTTCAGCTCATGGTGCCAGGGGGCTAGATAGGGCTCATATGGTGGGGAAGCGTGGCAGGTAGGCGGGCATGAGGCAGGAAAGCTGATCACATTCACTGCACACAGGAAGCAGAGACAGTGAGCAGGAAGTAGAACAAGACTAAGAACCCTCAAATCCTGCCCCCCAGTGGTGGACTTCTCCAGCAAGGCTGCCCCTCCTACAAGCTCTCAGCCTCCCAAGCAGTGCCACCAGTTGGTGACCAAGTTTAAATTCATGAACACATGGGGGATGGTTCTCATTCAAGACCATATGAAGAAAGAGGCTCAGACAGGATAGTGACTTCCAGAAGGGCTGCTCAGGCTGGGGAACGGAATGATTTGAGGGTTTGGTCTACTTTATATTCTCTCTTTATCTTCTGTGAGCCACATGGACGCTCCCAGAGCCACCTAGCCTGGCAGTCTGACCAAGGCTGTATAGTTCCATCAAAATCTCCTTCCGTTAAAGCAAGCTCTCAGGGCCTCTGAGAGAGAAATGGGGACCAAGTCCCCACTGTGGGCCCAGAATGGGCCTGAGCTTCAGGAATGCAAAGGTGATAGGGTGTTAGGGACCAGGAGGAGGGCAGATTGGCAGGTGGGGCACAGTGGTCATACCCATGCAGATATTGGGAATGCAGTATAAAATTGTAGGATGATAAATACCCAAAATGCACAGGTCTTCTTCTTCTTCTTCTTTTTTTTTTTTTTTTTTTTTTTTTTTTTTTTTTTTTTTTTTTGTTTTTCGAGACAGGGTTACTCTGTAGTTTTGGAGCCTGTCCTGGAACTAGCTCTTGTAGACCAGGCTGGTCTCGAACTCACAGAGATCCGCCTGCCTCTGCCTCCCAAGTGCTGGGATTAAAGGCTTGTGCCACCACCGCCCGGCTTCAGGTCTTCTATTTTTCTTTTTCTTTTCAAGACAGGGTTTCTCTGTAGCTTTGGAGCCTGTCCTGGAACTCATTTTTGTAGACCAGGACTAGCCGTGAATTCACAAAGATCCGCCTGCCTCTGCCTCCTAAGTGCTGGATGCACGCCACCTAGATTTTTTAGAATTCCCTTGGAAAGCTCGGAATTTGGCAGCATGGATCCTCATATAGCAGTAGTGAGCTGGGACAATACTTCAGCCATCCCTCTGATTGACAGCCTGCACGGTTCTGGTATCAGCCCAGCCCTTTTCCCTCTGCCTTCCCTTCCAAGGCCCTGTTAGACATTCCTTTCCACACGTCAGCTGCGATGACATTTCTTTAGAGAAGTCTCCCAGACCTCCACGGTGTTTTCAGGTCCCTGTTCAGGCACCATCTGTCCCGACCAGCAGGACAAGAATCAGGGTCCCTGGTAACCTGGAAGAGAGGAATGGAGGGGCAAGAGACACAAGAAATGGACATCAAGTCTGTGTTCTGATCAAGCTGCCAACTTTAGTTTTTCTCAGGAGCCTTATGCAGCAAACAGGCAGCGGGGGATGGTAGGATGCTGGAATGTCAGGTCTGGAGGCATCCCCTAGCTGATAGGAAAAGATAAGGGGATGCTGAGGGTCTGTAAATATTTACAGGGGGAAATGCTAATCACTTCTGGTGCCTGGGATCCACAGATCTGCAGGCCTGTAGACAGTCTTAACTTAGGGAGATAAGAAGATCCCGGAACTTTCCCTACAGAGCCTTCTGAATAGCTTACTTAACTTGTGAACTTAAGATGGCTGTAACCAAAATACAGGTCTTTGCTTCGGCAAGAACCTGTCTGAGTAGATAAAGTCACCAGTACAAACTGATGGGACTGACCTGTTATTTGACTAGTGCCCGTGCTTTCTGTCGTGCAGCAGGCTCCCGAGGGTCCAGGACCCACCCTTGCCATATTCCTTCATGCCTGGTGCAAAGGGAAGAACCGTGTAAACAGCCAAGTGCGTGAAGTGGTAGGTAAACCAGGAGAAGGCAGGAAGCTAAATGTTTGCCCACAGTGAGTGGCGAGAGTTGGGAGAAGCAAGAGCAAGGCGAGCTTTGGCCTGGGCTAAGGCATGACCTTCATCCAGAGAGCCAGTAGTCACTGGAGGCCTTGGTGCAGGGAAGAGGGTAAGTGCAGGCTTCTGAAAACTCACTCCTGGAACACAGAAGGGTAGACTCTGGCCATGGGATAGAGAGCTCTTCAGCTGTGGCACAGCACATTCTGGAAGAGCCTAGCTCATGCAGACAGAGGAATCTGGCTACCGAGGGAGAGTGAAGGAGGTTGTTGGGCAGCTGCCGTGGTGGGTAAAGGATGAACACAGAGCGGTGGAGGGATGGTACCCGCCTGGCTAGTAGGAGAACAAAGAATGCTCATGGGTGAGTAGGTGGAGGGACAAGTAGTATCCGCCAGGGTGGAGCCTGTGGGTGAGCTTGTGTGAAGACTTTGCAGCCAGTCGGCAGCCTGCTCATTTCCTGTATTTGGCTCAACAAAGCCATGGGAAGTGCTTGTGTTAGTTCCAGGAGTTAGCTGCACTGCCCTGGCTAGCCCTGACCATGTGAGGCTATCCCAGACACTCAGCGCAGGCTGCCAAGCACCTGGACTTGAGGGGGGGGGGGAGCCAGTAGATTAGTCCTGTCTGCAAGGGGTTCTCCATCTGGCCCCAGCTATTGAAAGGGGGCAGCGGCTTCCATCTCAGAAGTTGCTTCCTGTGAGAGCAAGAAAACCAAGCTCAGAATTTCAGCTTTAGTCTCTGGACCTTAGGGGATGGCAGCCTTCAGACTTTCACCTTCTGAAATCTGAGGCAAGAAACTGGCAGGGCCTAAGCCCCGTGGCTAGACCCCTTGGTGGCAGTAGCACACGGTACTGGCCTTTGGGCTCCATTGTCATAGGACCCTATTCTGCTGAGGGTTTAGGGATCTGATAAAAATGTCTGGTGAGGGCAGGAGAACATAGTACAGGCAGAGTCTCTGTACAAAGGAAATCTGCATGGACAGGGAAGTCTTCTGTCCAAGAAGGTGGGTGGGCTCCCGGTTTGCAGAGTACGGACTGAGTCTTTAACCTGCTGGGCTAGTGCATGGGTGCCATCTTTGCTGGCCACCTGGTGGTACACCTGACTGCTGTCTCCATCGATCCAGCCGATGCCAATGTGCGGGACAAGAGCTATTCTGGGCCCCTGCCCATCTTCAACCGCAGCCAGCATGCACACGTCATCGAGGACCTGCACTGTAACCTCTGCGACGTGGACGTGTGAGTGGATGCGTGCGAGCGAGTCGGTGGCCCGTGAGCACGGCTGGAGGATGACCAGAGAGTCGCGCCAGGCTCCACACTTATATTTGTGCCCCTGAACACTTGTACTTTGTATAGTCGAGAGTTGTGCTGGAGGGTGGGTGTGCTGGCCCATACCTTTTGTCCCAGCACTCGAAGGCAAGAGGCAGGCAGATCTCTGGGAGTTTAGGCCGGCCTGGTCTATGTGGTAAGTTCCAGGACACCTAGTAAGATCCTGTCTCAAAAACAAAACAGAAAGAGTCTTGGTAGAACTGGGCATGGTGGTGCATACCAGTAATCCCAGCAATTGGGAGGCTGAGGCAGGAGGATTTTAGTGAGCTTGAGGGTAGCCAGGGCTACATAGTAAGACACAGATTCAAACAAACCACCACCACCAAAAACAACAACAAAGTCTTGGCGGAGTGACTTGAGAGTGGTTGGGAGAGAGGACGAGGGCTAGCATTTCCGGTAGCAAAGGCAGGAGGCACTGGGTGGCACCACAGTCCATTCTAAATGACCAACTCTGCCAGTGGCATCTTCACTGCACCCAGATAGGGGCAGGAGGGAGGTCAGCCTTACGTGTTCTGTGTTAAGTGCCGTGTTCTTTAACAAAAGAGCCAGGTCAGAAAGCTAGGAGGTGTCCTGAGCCACAAAAATACTGAGCAGCAGAGTCAAGGCCACATTAGCTGTGGAGCCCCTGCCCCCAGCACGTTTACCCATGAGGGGTCTGAGGCCAAAGAGGCCAAGTGGCTTGCTTCCATGTCTTACTGCTACTGAGGAGGAGACAGAACACCTTTGGCAAATCCCAGTGCCTCTCTAGGAGTCTTCCCTACATTACTGGAATTTGGAAATCTCAAGACTCAGGTATGTGTTGGGGAGAGCGTGTAGCCCAAGGCCAGCTCCACTCTTGAAAACTGAAGGCTTAGAGTAGCTGTTAGAGGGTCTGTGTAAAGGAACCCAAGGCTTAGAGTAGCCTGTTAGAGGGTCTGTGTAAAGGAACCCAAGGCTTAGAGTAGCCTGTTAGAGGGTCTGTGTAAAGGAACCCAAGGCTTAGAGTAGCATGATGAAGGGTCTGTGTAAAGGAACCCAAGGCTTAGAGTAGCCTGTTGGAGGGTCTGTGTAAAGGAACCCAAGGCTTAGAGTAGCCTGTTGGAGGGTAAATGTAAAGGAACCCAAGGCCTATTGCCATTCCCTAAGCAGCAGTTAGCACGCGCTCTGAGTGGCTCTGGCAGTTACTTTCCATGAACGATGGAGAGAGATCCTGCCATACTCATTTGGGTCTTCCGTCGTGCCTCCTGGGGGAGACCCCACTTGTCTCCTAATGTAGCATTCTCTCACGGGTTCCTTGTCCACGGGTTTCCTTAACGCCCCTAGATGACAGTGAATACCTCTCCTTTCGGCTCCTTTACAGCTAGCCCACACAGGCCTTCTGGAAGAGTGCCAGGAAAATTCCCGTAGGATGGCAAAGAAAGGGACCCCAAAATGGGGCTGTTAGAAGTGCAATTAAAACACCAGTTGGGCAGCTGTGCATTCTGCCTCAGGTTCTGTACCTGCATCTTGTGTGTGGTCTGGCACAGAGGTCTTTGCTTGAAAAGGACGCTCCCTTTCTTTCTCATGTGAACCTTACTTAGGTATGTAGTTCCAGAGTAGGACCCCACAGAGCACCCCCTCTTCTCTCTGCCATGATTCTCAGAACCTTCTCCAGGTGTCCTACCACGTGTTTCCGCCAGAGGGCGCGTGTGCTCCTCATTGCAGCGCTCCGGGAGGGGCGGAGGTGCCTGTAGGTAATTAGGGACCAGGCCTGACTTGATCGCTACACCTGCCAAGGTGGCCTGGCTGGCCGGTGCGAAGTGCCTTCCCCAACCCTCCGCAGGAGTGCGAGATCCAAACACTGCAGCGCCTGTAACAAGTGCGTTTGCGGCTTCGACCATCATTGCAAGTGGCTCAACAACTGTGTGGGCGAGAGGAACTATCGGTGAGAGTCACCTGGGGTCTGGGAACTCATGCCCTGAGTCTGGGCTCTATTGTAGACTGCTTGTAATGGGGCGCACAGTTGTGGGTAGGGATGTGTGCATGCTGAGAAGGTGGTACTTGGGATGGCTGAGGGTGGGTTTGGAGTCTTCCATCCTATTGGTCTAGACAAAGATGGGAGGCCTGATAAGTGGTTGCCTCTTAAGGCTCTATGACTTTGACTTCTGAGGAGTTGGGGCTTTGGGGTCAGGAGCCTATCCTGAGTGCTCACAGCTACCTGTGGCCGGGCCAGGCTCTTTCTACACAGTGTGGCATCTGCTTTATTGGGTGTTCTGCTCCTGGTGCTGGTGGCCACATATGTCTTCGTGGAGTTCTTTGTCAACCCCATGCAGCTTCGTACCAACCAACACTTTGAAGGTCAGTGTGGGTTCTAGACACAGACATGTTTTAGTCAGCGCACCCCTGGCCCCTGGCTAAGCACAGACTGCCTATGCCTTGCAGTCTTGAAGAATCACACAGATGTGTGGTTTGTGTTCTTGCCTGCTGCCCCCGTGGAGACCCAGGCTCCTGCCATCCTGGCCCTGGCTGCCCTACTCATCCTCCTAGGCCTGCTTTCTACAGCCCTGCTCGGCCACCTGCTCTGCTTCCACATTTATCTAAGTGAGTGCCTCCTCCAGGCTCACACTGAAGGGGGGGGGGAGTCTCGGCGGCAGGGAGGTGCCTTTTTGAACTGTAGAGCCTTGAAATCCAGTGCCAGTTCTTTGTGGTTAGTATAATTGTGGCTAGGGATTTGAACCTGGTACTGGCTGCCCGCCCTTCCAGTTTCCAGTGTCACCTCTCCACTACTGACCCCTCTCTTCCCACACCCACCAGTGTGGCACAAGCTTACCACCTATGAGTACATCGTGCAGCACCGCCCAGCCCAGGAAGCAAAGGAGACCCACAAGGAGCTTGAGTCGTGCCCCCGCAAGATGCGGCCCATTCAGGTATAGAGGTGGCCCAGAGACCTGGGCGTGAGTGTATGTGTGTGGTGGGAAGTGGGGCTGTACAGCAAGAGCCATTGAGGAGACCATTGCAAGGGAAGCAAGCTTAGGACAGCAGCTGGAGTGGGCACTGGGAAGCAGGACCCAGCCTTTGCTGGGCCATGGGCACCAACATAGCCCAAAGGAGCTCGAGTGTTTCCGCAGTCCCATGTCCTCCTGTCCAGGCACCAGGCACTTGGGAGAGGAAGCTGACCACTGGTTGTCAACTGGGTAGTTAGGCCATAACCATCGGGTCTCTTCATCTGTAATCTTGACTTCTTACCTATTATCCTATTTTAGTTTTAGAACAGGGGCAACTGTTAACAGTCTGTGTTAGAGATGAGCACGTTAAGGTCTGGGAAGAGTTAAGACTTGTACACATAGGGGACAAAGTAGGAACCCTGCAACCTAGGCTTTGGCCCGTCCAGCCCAGCTGCTGACCAGCCTATCCCCATTCCCACGCCCCCGGCTTCCTGAGGTCAGCAGCTGGAGATGGAGGTGGTCCAGTGCTCAGAGGCCCTAGGGACTGGGAAGGCAGGGGGCCCGGGCAGGCTTTGCTGGGAAGGCTGAGATCCCAAATCTTCATGGCAACTAGATACAAACACAGGCTGGTGGGCGGGTTGGAGTAGGACCCCGCCTCTCCTTTTCTCATCCCCAGGGCTTGAACCCTGCTCATGGGCCAGGCTGAGGAGCACTAGCAACCATTAGAGAACCCTGTCACCCTATCACATACCTGCCCTGGTCTGGGCTCTGAGCTGTGTGCATCCCAGAGTACCTGTCGAGTAAGTCAGCAAGACTTGCTCTGGGATGCCCAGACTTCAGGGTTTTGTACCTTTGGGGCCAAGCTTGGCAACAGCAAAGCCGTTTAAGTCAATTCCGTTTGTCTGCAGCTAACTCGAGGGAAGCCTGCCCCATAGGAGCCGGGTGCTTGTCCTCTTTTACAGAAGAGAGAACGCTATGGCTGAGAGGTTCCAAAGTGCATTCAGGAATGTGCAAATGTTTGAAGGTTTCTGAGGAAGGAACCTGAGGATCAGTTCTGAGGAAAGGAGGGAAGGCTGAGTGGGCACCTCCTGGTGATATCTTCAGACTTCCTTTTAGCTGGTTAGGGCTGACTTCTGTTCTATCCTGGAGACTAGGGGATCCAAGGTAGCCTTTGTCCCCTCTGCTGGGTGCTGTGAGGGAGAAAGGTGTGAGGCAGATAACCTTAAGGCCCCAGTACCTGGGACCAGTTTCCGGCCTGCGCTGCTCTGCTTGGACAGGTACCCCTATATCCTCCCCAAAGGGTCATCTTGGGCAGAGTTTGAGCATGAGACTTTATCTGTGGCCTCAGTTTTTGCACCTGTGCAGTCAGCCAGTAGTTGGCTGGGCCTATATCCTAGTCCCTAAAACTCTCAGGGACCCAGCAGGCAGCCTCCCACCCCCGCCCAGCAGGAATTTGGGAGGGGCCCCTTTCTGGAGCCGTTGCCCCCAAAACATAGGCTTGTTTTAGAGACGGCTTTCTGTTACAGTGTCGTCTCTGCCTTAGTCAGGACGCCTCTGTCACCATGGAAACTCCTGCCTAGTAGGCGACAGCTGTCTGGGTGCTCCCTCCAGCTCACTGGCCCCGCCCTTTGCCCTCTGCCCCACGCCCTTCCTGAGCTGGCTTTTCCCGGGCTTTTATTTCTTCACCTGCAGTTCTCTCCAGCAAAGCTGGAGGCGGCGGGCTTGCGGAGGTGCCGGCCCAGTCACTCCCAGCCCTTTGCTTCAGGGTTTGTTACTTCGACCGCCTTTGAGTTCTCTTTGTATGAACCACGATTCAGGGCTGCAGTACTCTTTCCTCACCTGCACCCTTTCCTTTTGGGGAGCAGGGACAATGATTGTACCCTCCTGGTTCTTTGAGAGCGAGGGGTGTACTCAGTATACAGGCAAACTGCCCTCTTAGTGCTGGAGCACACAAACTGGTCTCCTGGCCTCTGAACAAGTTAGTTGAGGACTGTAGCCCCAAGAGGAGCCAGGAGCAGATGAGGGCCACTCTTGAATGTCTTGTCCCTAAGAGCCTCTTGGCTATGCTTGCCCTGTCTAAGCATACTGGACCCGAGGGGCTGCAGCCTTCCTCAAGTAGAATAACTGGAGTTGGACTAGCTGAAGAGAGCCCTTGTGATGGCGTGAGATCTGGAAATGAGTGTTTGAAACCTTACCCTGCAGAAGGGTTTTCCTAGCCCATCTGAGATCCAGGAAGACAGCCCTAGACCCCTGGGGACATGAGGCCACCAAGCTTCTAGAGAGGCCAGTGACAAGGTGTGCCCAGGGCTTAGGAGGCTGTGGCTCCAGACGTAGCCTCCCAGCCTTTCTGACCCCCTCTTTCCCGAGGAGATGGAGTTTTATCTGAGGAACTTCAGCCATGTGCGTCCAGAGCCCTCTGGCCAGGCCAGGCCGGCAGCATTAAATGCCAAGTAAGTACTACCTGGCTGTCCCCATGGGTGGTGGGAGAAAGGGAGGTAGGTCAGAGTCAAAACATGTGTCTGGGGCCAGTTTAGCAAAGTCTTGGATGGATCAGTGTCTCTCTGTCCTGCTAGGACAGGAACCTCTAGCAGGCAAGGGCTCCGGGGCAGCATCTAGAGCTTGCTCTCTGGCTTTTACCTCAGTCCTTCCCAGTTTCTTGCCACCCAAGGCCAAGTGGAACCACCACTGCCCTCCTCAGACACACTGGCTCTGCCTCCACGGATCCAACCCCAGGTAGGAGGGACTGGGTTTGATCCTCTGCCCAAGAAGAGGGAGATGGAAAAGAAGCCTCCATTCTTAGAAGTATCTCTGCTGCTTTGGGCAAAGGGAGGTCTGGGGAAGTGGCCCACACCCCCTCTGTCTCTGCAGAAAAAGAGGAAGCGGCGTGTGTATAGATTGCCAAGGTCTGGGGTCTTGGACCTGGAGCCCCCGCTGCCCAGGTTACGGGGTGAGCATTCCTCTCAGGTTGGATTCTGTTGGGTTAGTTCGAGGGAGGGAAAGGTTCCCTTCAGTAAAGTTTCCCTCACTCTGCAGAGACTGGGACCCCTGGCCGCCACTCCAGCTCTTCGTCGGATTCCACCAGTGCCAGCCCAGGCGCCTACTACTCCGCATCAGCCGAGTCCATGGAAGAGATTCCAGTGGCCCAGACACGCCTGGGCAGTGCTGCGCTGGGCGCCCCAGGAGCCAGGGGCCGAGAGTCTGGGCTGGCGCTGCAGGCACGTTCGCCGGCCGTGTTCGTGAGCCCGAGCAGCGGCGAGCCCGGGTCACCCGGCGGCGGTGAAGATGGCCTGCCTTAGTGCAGACTAGAGGCAGGAGGGCCGTGTAGGAATGGCCGGCCCCACTCTATGCAACACCCCATCTTTGCCGCACCGAATGCGGGCCTCAAGGCCGGCGGGATCGGCCTCCCTTGCCCAATACTCAGCAATATCCGCTCCACCAGCCCTGATGCTCCAATAAACTTTTTTTTTTCTTAAATGCTTTTGTGGGTTTAGGGCTTATATTCATAATGGAAAGAACCGTGGTCTTCCTGAAGCCGCCCGTGACTGTTACTAGCTGGCCTGGGGCAGAGTGTGGGGTGGGTCAGGAAAGGTGGAAGATTCCCCTGGAGAGGAGTTTTGTTTTACGGGTCGGGGATCAAACACGGGGTTTGTTCATGTTCAAGTACTACTACTCGCCTTCCCGCCTCTCCATTCCTTCTCCAGCTTCCTTTGTAGCCCAGGCTAGCCTCAGCATTTTGAATCCATAGCTTCAGTTCCTGAATACCCAAACTACTGGCGTGTGCCACCACACCCAGCAGTGTTATTTAGTTAAGTAGTATTTGCAGTTGAAGACAGAAGTGGAAGCAGGCTCCGGAGGCAGCAGCAGGAGCAGGGGCTGTGAGGCCGAGGAGAGGAGAGGAGGCAGTGGAGGGAGGCAGCCATTCTTGATGTCCGGAATTGTTTCCTGACAGTGGTCGCCATCAAAGTACCCCGCATGCCGGGGCTAGGTATGTGTGATCCACTGATTGTCCCGATCTAACCCCGATGGGCCAGAATCTGGACTCTACTCAGAACCTGGGGGTAGTTGGCAACAACTGTGGTCTTTAGTTAGCTGTAGTCCTTGTCAGTGAGGGAGACGATCCCGCTCTTTTCAACTCAGCTTCTAAACAGTCTCAGGTTGACTCTTTCAGAAGTCCTTTAAGGGCTGGGGACCCCACTTGAGCTTTAGGGTGCTCTTTTCCCACTGGCCATGGGAGTTCCTATCCTAGGACATCCAGGACTGCAGAGGGCAGCTTTGGCTGCTTGAGGACAGCGCTGAAGGGGAGGGGGAAGTCGCCGCAAATCCAAGGGCCGAGAGCCTACAGAGCACACAGGGCGGGGTCTGGTGGGAGGAGCCAGCGTGACCTTGGTCACTCTCCCGCCGAGACTGCCTAGGGGGTGGGACTCACCGTCTCTATGGTGACCGAGAAACAAGGGATAATACCAGGGAGCCGCCCCGGCTGCAGTCCCGTCCGGGAGCCGGCAGGGAGCGGAGCTGTGGAGCCTCCTGGTCTCCAGCATCTGTCGATTAGTTCCTGGGTCCTGTCTATCCGAAGGCACACTCAGGAGCAGCCACGAGATAGAAGCCGGTAGGAGAACTGAACATCGACCTGCCTGATTAATATCCTCCACAAGGAGGGGTGGGTGGGAGCAGCCTGTACCAGCCTTGGATGCACCCCGGCCCTGGCCCCAAGCGTTCCACACACACCCCTACCCCCACCTCCTTGCTAGGGTGATTGATGACTGCAGCTGTCCCAGTAGGAGCTGACAGGCGGATTCAGTTCAGAGGCGTGGTCACTCCATCCAAGGTCTACAGACCCCAGAGCAGTTGTCTGTGATTTTGTTGCACCTGAACAGCCCCCAAATCCATCTTCCCCTAGACAGAAATGAGCAATAGGCTCAGGATCCTCCCATCCTTGAGATGAGCATCACGTAGCACCCAAACTCTCCTGGGTATGTTTACTGCTGGTGACCAAGTGCAGGGCTTTGGGTTCCCAGTTGGGGTTTGCACCTTGGGAGAGGCAAAGGGAACGCAGTACCATCTGGGTTACATCCCACAGAGGTCCCCTGCAATGTGGAGTTTGGTTTCCCCGTCTTAAAAACAGAAATTTATGGATGAGCAGGTGTGGTCACCAAGAAGGGTCTTTCAGTGTCTACTTACTAGTAGTATAGTAGTGGAAGAAGAGGAAGCTGTGGGGGATGGGGGGGTTGTGGTCATTGGTGACTTTTAAGAGGCAGACAAAGATGGTGGCTGAGAATGAGGGTGTGGTCAGGATGCTGCAGTGGGTGTGGTGATGGTGGTATATCTTAATATGATGCAGGAATATGGAGATGCCAATGCTGGTTAGACTCTCGAGGGGCTTTGGGGCAGTCTATGTCAATAGCTCTAGGTATACGGATAATGTAGGAAAGCGAGGGGTGTGGTCAGGAAGCTGCATATGGATTGTGGTGGTGGGTGTTCAACATTTTGCTTGGGAGTACAAAAATGTTATTGCATAGACTGGACACTGTGAGGGGGGTTCAAGGCAGGGCTGTGTCAGAAGCTGCAGGTATATGGATGAAGGGGGGTGCTTCAGGGTATGGTCAGGGGGCCTTTGTAAGGGCTGTGGGTGCAGAGTCAGGTTAGTGAGTGTGGTTGGGGTCTTCAGGATGTGAAGGAAAAGGATGCAAAATGGGGACGCAAGTGAGGTACAGGGTGTGAGCTGCAGTGGGGGTTTCACAGTGGGGCCGAGGGTGTGGTCAGAGGGCTGCAGGAGAGAGATGAGTGAGGGTGGCTCAGGGGGGTGCAGGAGGGAGCTAGGAAGGTGCGCTTTAGTGCAGGGCTGAGGGTATGCTGGAGAGGGGGTTCTTCAATGCAGAACTCTTAGTGTCTGTGCCGAGATGGAAGTGGAAAAAAGGGTCAAATTCTGGGCTTTGGGTGTGGCTGGAGGAGGCCTCAGTGCAGGGCTGTGGGTAGGGTCAGGGGGGTACATGGTTGAGGGTGTTGAGAGCCAGGGCTCAGTGCATATGAGCTGTGAGGATGTGGACTGGTGTGGTCGCCCTCAGGGTGTGATGAGAAGACCTTAGTGAAGGGCTGAAGTGTAGACAAGGGGATGTGTGCTTCAGTGAAGGGTTGAAGCACCAAGATCATGGTCCCATTAGCATGAAGGACTTTAGGGGCTATTCTAGAAGCCTCCACCTAGGTTGCTTCCAGTTTCCCACTCCTAAGCTCCACAGACTGGGAGCTCAGCTTCAATCAGTGGCAAGGGGCCAGGAAGCCACGGTTGTGCCCTAGGCTTAGGGAGTGCTTGGCATGCCCCACCCGTGGGCCCCTGATCCCCAGCCCAGCCCAGCCCAACCCAGCAGCACTGGGAGCTTCTCCCTGAAGCCGCCCTGACACCATCCTACCCTTAGCAACACTCTCCAAGCAGTACTACCCTCCCTTAGCAACCGTCTCCAGGCTTCACAAACTGTGGCCAGGCCAGACCTAAGTTCCTGCTCCCCTCATGTTTTTGTTTAACAGCAAATAGTAACAAGGCCAGGGCTGGGCCAGCTGCACCCCTGCCTAGGGCATGCACCACTGCCCTTGTTCCTGCTCCCTTGTCAGGCTTAGGCTGGGCCTCTCTAGGTCTTCATGACCCTTAGAGAGACACTGCCCTCACGAAATACCTGCCCATACACCAGCCTTGCCTGGCACTGACCCAGTTTGACAAGGAGCTTTTAGGGAGGGAGGGCTTTCCTGCCCCCCCTTCCACCCAAGCAAACTTTGTGCCAGGGACAGACAAAGCCATGCCCTAGCTGCTCCCCGCACAGCCCTTCTGGACAGTGCCACTCTGTTCTCAGTGTGTGTGGGCATCATTTCATCTCCTGAGCCCTATTGAGAACCAGAACTGGCATTGAGTGTGACAGGACCTTTCTGCCTGTGGCTCTTCCTCAGCTCTGGGGCACAAGAAGACACAAGGTGCCCCCTCTCTCTGAGGGACTGTACCAGGTGTGCGGCCAGGTCACCCCTTGTCGGTTTTGGCAGCAGGGATGGTCTGGGTCTCAGGCGGTGATGGAGGTGGATTCTCACAGGGTTGGCATGGCAGCAAGCACCGATGTAGCTGGGCTGGAGGAGAGTTTCCGAAAGTTTGCCATCCATGGCGACCCCAAGGCCAGCGGGCAAGAGATGAACGGCAAGAACTGGGCCAAGCTGTGCAAGGACTGTAAGGTGGCTGACGGAAAGGCTGTGACGGGTACGGATGTGGACATTGTCTTCTCCAAAGTCAAGTGAGTGCTGGGCAGCTCTTTTCTCGTGTTCCCAGAAAGTGGCGAGTTGGGGGTTGGGGGCTGGGGTCAGGGAGGATATCAAGAAGGGAGAATCCTTACGGTGCACGTGGTGCCTGGCAGGGCAAAGTCGGCTAGAGTCATCAACTATGAGGAGTTCAAGAAGGCCCTGGAAGAGCTGGCAACCAAGAGGTTCAAGGGGAAGAGCAAGGAAGAGGCCTTTGATGCCATCTGCCAGCTGGTAGCCGGCAAGGAACCAGCCAATCTGGGTGTCACTGTAAGTGCCCTGCTGCTGAGAGGGATGTGGGGAATCTCAGCTGGAGTGGGGTGGGTAGGATGGGCCAGTTTCCCTCTTGGGTGACCCTGTTGGAACTCTGTCCAAACAGAAAGCAAAAACAGGAGGTGCTGTGGACCGGCTGACTGACACCAGTAAGTACACAGGTTCCCACAAGGAACGCTTCGATGAGAGTGGCAAGGGCAAGGGCATTGCTGGACGGCAGGACATCCTGGACGACAGTGGCTACGTGAGCGCCTACAAGAATGCCGGCACCTATGATGCCAAGGTGAAGAAGTGAGACCTGGGAAGGCCCCCAGTGAGGCTGCTCCACTGGAGGCTCAAGCCTGGGTCAAGGGTCACACAGAACAAGAAAGCCTGGTTCCCTCCCTGCTGGATCTGCCACCAAGAGCTTCCTGCCCAGTCCCAGGGCCATCTCACCAGGCCTCTGACCCAGACTTCTGTGTCCCTTCCTTCTTCTTGTCTCCCTGACTTCTGTCTGGGAGTCAGTGCCTACACCCTCACCTCCCCAGCCTGGTCCCAGGTATGGCTGACTCTTGCCTGCTTGCCTCATATTTAAGCTGCTGCTCTGGCCAAGTGCCTAATTCTTACCCAGACCTCAATAAAGATACCTTTTGTACCAATATGGACTGACTGGGTGTGATGGGGTCATTGCAGCCCCCTTCAGTCTCACCACTTCCTGTCATCCACCCTGCTGGGCTCTTCCTTCCCACTGGCAGCCGGGCCCAGGAGAATGGATGAGATCCTCTTCCATTAGTGCAGAGCGGAGCCGCAGGGAGATGTAAAGTGTTCTGCTGGCCCTGACCCCAGAGTGATGCCATCACAGCCCGCTGTCCTATCGCTAAGGGCCTCAGTCTGCACTCAGCATTTGCACAGCAGAAGGAAGGATGAAACAGCACACTTGGCCTGAGCCAAGCCTTGGCAGAGGCTCAGCACCAGGCCTCAGTACGATGGCTGCCAGCAGGGGGCTGTTAGGGTAAGACATTTTGGGCTCTAGCCCAGAATCTCAGAATAGTCAGGGCTAGAAGGAACCTGAGAGAATAAACGGTTGATTCCCTAATTTTATGGCTGAGGAAACTGAGGCCCAGGGAAGAAAGACTTCTACAGATAAGACCCAGACTGTAAACATCTTGCTTTCATGCCAGCCCTTTCTGGCACAGCAAACCCCAACACTGTTTCTCAAAAGAACGGGGCCTCATGGACAGTGATGAGCCTGGGGTCCCAGTGAGGGACTCTGGCTGATTCCCTTCCATCTGTTCACCATTCTGATGGGGAAGGTGGAGCCATTCTGCTTCCTTCCAGATCATTAGTTCTGAGTCCCTGGTGTCTGGGCAGAGCTGTTCCCAAGCACAGGCTTCATTGCCAACTCTCCTTTCCTTGCTGTTGTGACACGGACACTTGGGGCCTATCCCTGAGAGGGCAGCTTCTGACCTGAGCACAAGTGAGGGAATGTAACTGTGTGTCCCTCCATCCCACAGGCTGTCCTGAGATGTGCTTGCTGCTCAGACTGGGCTCAAGCTCTGCCAAACATGTAGGGATGAGAGATGCAGACAAATGGTGTGGGATGGACAGGGACAAAGGTCGGCTGGAAAGCAGAGGGCACAGGCTGGCACCTGCTTCCCCGTTGCCAGAGGTTGGCTCCTCACTGGGCTGTCCCTATTCTCTCAAGCTACCTGGGTAGGGTTTCAGCTTCTTCCTCCCCAGCAGTAAAGGAGTGGTCCCTTCATCTAGCCTGGGAAATCTGTTTGGATTGCAAGCTTTCCCACAGTGAGTGTTGTGGGATCTGTAAATCCTTCCAGCTCCCACTTACTGAGAGCTCCTCACAGCAAATGGGTCCACCTGTGTCCATACCTGGTCTCACTCTCAGCTAGAGCTGCGGGCGGGGGGCGGGGGCAGCCTGTTCATTTCTGTGAGTGGTGGAATGACTTGGAGGGAGGTAGGGAGAGAGAGGGGGGGGAGGGAGGAAGGGAGAGAGGGAGGGAGGAAGGGAGGGAGGGAGGGAGGAAGAGAGGGAGGGAGGGAGTGCTCTCTCAGCAGACGCTGGGCTGCCACCCTTAGATGATCACACTAGAGGCAGGGAGTGGAGGGGGGGGACAAGAACTATGGGATTTGCCCATGATGGTCTGCATAGTAGATTAGTTTGCACCCTGAGTTGTGTTTCTAAAATGTGACAACCCAGACATTCCCCTCTCTGTGTGAGCCGTAAGCTCTATGGAGTTTTCTTCATGGGACAAGGAGAAGATGGTCCTTGTGGAGCATGCACACAAAAAAATTTTGGCTCCTTTTGAAAAGCCAGATAAACCCAAATGTCTGTGGATTTATTTCTAATTCAGAAACATGGGGGCTTCACAGCAGTGAGTTAGCAGTGAGGTTCCTTCCCTGCATGGCATCTGAGTAGGAACATGAGACAGTGTCTCCGTCCCCTGCCTCCCTTCCTGACAGGATCAACAGGTGAAGAGGTCTGAGAGCGTTTGTTTCCTGGCAACATTAGCTGCTCTGGAGAAAGCTGACACAGAAGTAGACCCACTGAGGTTTAAGATCCCTGATTAACCAGGATCAAAGTATGTATACTCCTCACGTGTGAAGTGGACACTGAACCCAGGCACGCTCACGAGCCGAGTGAGGTGGGCCTGTTTCTGTTGCTTCTGCTGTCCAGCTCCTTTGTGCTTAGGCCAGTTCTATTTCACTGTAACCCAGTCTCCTTAGAGAGGAAGCCTTTTAAATGCAAGCCTTACTCTTCTGTTCCTTAGTGGAAAGTCCGCAAGGAGCCATGCAGCTAAGTTCCTCTGCCCTCCGCAGCATTGGAGACACGTCACTCTGTGACACAGCACAGCTGCTATTTTCCTGTTCTTGTCCTTGGTCCTATGCTTTGCCTAATAACTGTTCATTCCCAGGTCTCGGGTGACTGTCCTCTGGGGACATCTTCCTGACATTACACTCTCCAGGCTAGGACTGGTGGATGTCCTATCATACATTCTTAGGGTACCATGTCCCACTTCTGTCCCTGACCCATGATCCCTGATTCCTCAAGGGTCACCAGACTCTGCATTTCTAGTTTAGAAGGCTCTCCATCATCTCCCTGAAACCATCCTAATCTGCAAGCTCTTCTTCCAAGCTCTCATTAGACCATCATGTGAGTCTTACCAGGCTGTGGGCTCCTCCAGAGTGGATACCTTTGCACCATGGCAGAGGAGACTCCAACGTTTCAGAGTCTCTGGAATTCATCTAACACAAAAGACATTGACAGATGTCCTTTTGTAATTTCCTGCCACAGCCTCAAAGGACACTGAAAAGTATCCTCTGTTTTTACTTTTCTGACATTTTTAATCAAATGTTTCTGTGTGAAATGGTGTCTAACAATCTGTGTGGGCAGAAGGAAAGAATGACCAAACAGGAGGAAACAAACAGAAAAATAAAAGAGGGACAATATAGTCATAAAAGTTTTTTTCTTAATCTTTGGGGTAAACACCACTACCCAACACCGTGACATTGGCACCGAGAGCCCTCCATGGCTGGAAGGGAGCTGGTGGTGAGGGTTTCAGGGCTAGCTCCACAAACTAGGCTCGGGAGCAGCTTCTGAGACACTCTGTATTAGATACTGACCCGTGTCGTGTGCCATTGGTGAGGAGGAAGACAGCGTGCTTTTCCCAAAGGGCGACGATCTCCCCAAAGGATGACTTTTCTCGGGAGGCAGGAGCGATTTCCCGGAATAACCTTTTTGTTCTTTATTCAGCTGCTGCAGCAGATACTCATTAGTTACCACCAGGGATCTGAGGCCCAGGGGAAAAGGCAGTCATGAAATCACAAAAGCAAAGTAGATGCCATTCAGGTCTGAAATGACTTCTAAAGACAAATACACAATGAAGTAACATCTTTCAATAGAACTGTCCAATTTATGAGTGGATTATCTTAAAGCAGACCTACAGTTCCTTTGTTACAATTCATGTGACTGTGTTCAGATTGACTGGGGCAATTATATTTCACATTTTATGGAGCGGTTTGTCCATTCTTTTCTTGATGAGAAGTAGAAGCACTAGGGCTCCGGCTCCTATCAGGCCCAGCAATTCCCACTCACGAATCATTGCTTCTTTTATTAGTTTGCCTCTGTAGCTAACTAACAGTACAAGCCACTACTGCATTCTTGGACTCTGAATTACCACACAACACTAAAAGCCAAAAGATGATGTATACAAAAGATGATGGCTCACACCTTTAATCCCAGCCAGGAGGCAGAGGCAGGCGGATCTCTGAGTTTGAGACCAGCTTGATCTATATAGTAAACTCCAGGAGATCCAGGGCTATGTAGAGAGACCCTGTCTCAAAAAAAAAATTATACCCATAGTATTAATTACAGCACTATTTTGTTTTCAGGGATTGGAGGTGGGAACTGACCTTGAGCACCTCACACTTGCTAAGTACACACACACCTCAGCTCATACTGGACTATTTTTTGCAGTCAAATATTGTTCATCTAACTGGTAATTTTATAATAGAGGAATTTTTTTTCTTTCTTGAAACAGGGTTTCTCTGTGGTTTTGGAGCCTGTCCTGGAACTCTAGTAGACCAGGCTGGCCTCGAACTCACAGAGATCTGCCTGCCTCTGCCTCCCGAGTGCTGGGATTAAAGGCGTGCGCCACCATCGCCCGGCTAGCCCTTGTCTTGTGTGTTTGTTGGTTGTTTTTTTTAATTTTTTGTTTGTTTGTTTTTGTTTTGGGGATAGAGTTTCTCTGTATACCCCTGGCTGTCCTGGCCAGTCTGGTCTACAAAGTGAGTTCCAGGACAGGCTCCAAACCTACAGAGAAACCCTGTCTTGAAAAACCACTGCCCTGTGTGAACTGATTTTTTAAGGTAAAAATGTTGGGTCAATGCGATGGCTTAGTGGATAAAGATGCTGTAATTATGCTAGACGACCTGAATCTGACCGCTGGGACCTTCATGGTAGAGGGAAAGAAGCAACCCTGTACACTAACTTCCACCCACAGTCTAGCATATTCAATCCTTCCTCCCTTTCCCAATAAATAAATAGCTTACAATGTTAAAGCAGGCCTGGAGAGGGGGCTCACAGAGCACTGCTCGTCCAGAGGACTGCAGTCAGTTCCCAGCACCACACGGTGGCTCCCAACATCAGTAACTCCAGCTCCAGGGGTCCTGGAACCCTCTTCCCGCTTCCATGAGTATATGGCACACAGACATGCAAAGCGCACATAGGCTGAGACTATGACACTTTTAAAGTTAAAGATTAGAGTGAATATAAAAAGTAACACCTTTTTATAAAAGTTGAGCAGATAACAGCACCAGCAGAGTCTGCAGTGGCAGAAGGCTGGTGAGGGAAGGAAATGGCTAGATACTTCTCAATCTTATTTATGGATTTGACTTTAAGATGACATAAATGTTTAATAAAACTATACAAACAAACCAAAATATTTCCCTAAGAACCAAAGTAAAAATGAAATAAACAAGTTGAGTGATTTAGGAAAACAGAGTTGTTTCAAGTTAATCTGAGATAGGTATTTTGAGTGTTCATCCCTTAGAGGAGACGCTCTAACGCCAGCGTGGGCCCCAGACCAGCAGCTACAGCACAGACGGGGAATATCAGAAACACAAATACTCAAGCTCGGAGCCT